TGTATGTCCAACGGTAGAGCGCCTTGGATTGGTCATGGATTTCGGTCAGTCTTCCTATTCTGTAACTCTTTTAAACGAATAACCAATTGTGAGAACGTCATTTCTTAAGGAAAAGTTGATGATTTATTCAAATACAATAACATACGGTGCAGCACTAGGCTGCTATGACTTCGCGAGTAACGCACGTGCGTTCGACTCAATTTCAAAAAATTCAATTAAAAAATGCATGAATGCACTCACTGTGCAAAATTAGAGCGTAAAATCAGAGACAAAGTGTACTTATTTGAGTGTTATAAGATGTTTTTTTAAATTACATTTTTTGAGCGGTGTGTTCGTAATGTCGGCAACTTGGCAGGCGGAGGGACGGGTGATGGGACGCAGATTTGTGCTAACACTGGTGATCGGAATTTCTGCAGGATTTAGCTTTGCGTACATACTTTTAACATCTTCAGGATTCTCACGAGAAGTAACTTGGTACAGGTAACTATCAGCCCTTGTCTAATGTGCATGACAATCTTTCGCATGGCACCTTTTAGAGCATGCTGTTACTGCTGTATATATTTTTTTTATTAAGGCTAGATTTAATGCTAAATTAATCCTACAGCCAAGCGCTAAATTATGCAAACTGTCACTTTTTAAAATACCCTTTTGAAAGCTGTGTAAATGATAGCCCAATTATTGGCGACGAATTTTCACAGATCTTATGTTGCCCACCGCAGAGATGTTTCCATGTCTAAAGGCTAAATATCACTTTTAGCCATTTACAACGGTGGTCCCAGAATTGAGATTGATATCAATATTCATTGTTCTGTCCGATTCTGCAACGTCGTACGGCGATATCTAACATAAACCTGTAGTTCTCAGTTTGCTTTTTACATTTTATTCACCTGTTTTTTGTAGGAAGTTGCTAAAATTTGAATATTATCTGTATATTGTGCCAAGTGAACCATATTTCTCACCATTGGGAATATAGTCATGCGAGTTTGGGATTTCAAAATTTTCTTCTGACAAAATTCTTCTGAGACACGTATTTTTTTTTACGTACGTTTTTCGGTGAAGAAAATATAGTGATGAAACCGTTTTAAGAGGTCACAACAAAGTGTTTCCTTTTAACATTGGACATGGACACAACACCAAATCCGAACAAATCTGATCTAGACTAGCCGTATATACCAACGAAAGACCAACGAGCCGCGATCTGTACCACATTCCTGCCGGCTGTGTAGCGCATGACGAAAACGTAGTTACTTGTACGTACACGTACGTTCAAAAGACGATTTGAAGACCCCAACCCGCATTATGGCATATCCCATTTGCGTAAAATATTGGTTGGTAGACAGGACTTAGGGATCCACCACAATTATTCACACGGAATCACCTTGATCCAGTCCGAAAAGCCTTTACATCCTCTTTCTGTCTTTCCAAATCCACGCAATAAAAGCTAAAAAGACGTTGCACTCTTCGCTTCCGCTCGGATCGCCGATGCGAATCGCACAACGTCATTTTCGTTGTTATTACATAGACATAAAGATTTTTCGATAAATGTGGTGACTCCCTTAAGTGCAAGTTATATTGGGACTTTGCACTCTGCCTTTCTCAAGCTAATTTCTAAGTGTCTATGGTTTTAGAATTCTTTAGGTACTTCTATAACGAGCGTAGCCTCGATATAGTTAACGATCGCGTGTATGTAAAAAAATGTCGCTATTTGTGACTATATTACCTAATTACGTAACTAAACAACTAGCTACCTACCTGCTTCTTATCATGCTACATAGCCGGCAGGAATGTGGCACAGATCACAGCTGGTTGGTCTTTTGTTGGTATATACGGCTAGTCTGGATCAGATTTGTTCGGATTTGGTGTTGTGTCCATATCCAATGTTAAAAGGAAACACTTTGTTGTGACCTCTTAAAACGGTTTCATCACTATATTTTCTTCACCGAAAAGCTCATGGTAAATTGTGGTAAATAAATAAATAAATAATGGTATTATGGTAAATTTCAAATTAAATTTCGCACATTACATCCGAGAAACTCAGAGGCGCGAGCACGGTAAGTCAAACCACGGCTTTTGTTATCATAACTTTTGTTAATGGAACCTTTATTATTTGCCTTTTATTTTCAACTGGAAACCATCAAATACTATCGGATACTATTGAATATTGGATGATGGCGCTGGTAGAGTAGAAGTAAATATTCCTTGTTAACAAGAAATTAGTTATTTGTTATGTAAAGCTGCAAAGTTGTTGTTTGACACGAGTGCTTCTATTGAAAGCGATTCGCGAGTGGGTCAAAAATTTATTCCTGAGCGTAGCGAGGGTTTCAAGGCACGAGACGCAAAACAACTTTGCTACCGAGTGAAACACGCAACTTTTCACCTCACTGTAGCGAGGAAAATGGTAAATAAAAAAAACACTTGAACTATAAAACATCAGTTTTTAAAAAACTTTAATTTCGGATGCGTTCTGAATTTACACCTCATGAATTTTTATTCTTGCTTGTACTTATAATTTTGTGTACTTAATTAAGATATTATTGAGATTATTTTAGTTCTTCGACGAATTAAAATAATTTGATAAACACAATTAGTTATTATTATATTGTCAATTTAATGTCAACGATAATAAGAATAAAATATACCAACGGATTTATATTACTTTAAGTAATGTAACAAATCAACGACAAATCGCGTCACTGAACGTGTCATTTTCTTTTCTTTTTTTCATCGAAACAAAAAGTTAGGATTCGCTTTGGACCTTTTGGAGGGAAAAGCGTCGTTTTTATTTTTACTTTCAATTATTTTGTGAATTCTAGTTTAAAGTGGAATAGGATAGCGCTATTTTGCCTTAATCGAAGATTAAAACGCGAAATTATACGAATCTCGAACTAAAATACCCGTATCGGCCCGTTTTAAGGAATCCCGAGTCAATCCAAGCACGCCGCCTCAAATTGCCTATCCTCTTTGTGACGGCCATGTTTACAGAAACATAATTAAACTTCATGTTTAGGCTGATGGCTTTGCCAAAGCCTTAATAAATTAAAAAAAGAAAAAAAGAAAAGTTAGGTGCACCACAGTCCATCGTCAAGTTCGAATTTCAAAAACCTTTACCACGCTAGCGGGCAAAAAAACGCTTTTGCGCGCAGATTTCTAATAAGAAAGAACTCTTTTCCAAGCTAGTGAGGTGAAAAAGTTCTTTTCAATTCCGCAAAATGCCAAGTGTCATTTCTGATATATCAGTTTTTTATTGTAACTAATCCAAATGTTGAAAGCAATGCAAGTGAACAGTATTGTAATATTGGGCCAATTTACGTACTTTTCACTTTTTTACGTACAACCTACTTGAGGTCAGGAACCAAATGAGGTAAAACCGTTTTTGCAAGTGTAAAATCGGACACAATGTTTATACATAGGTACTTATACGCATAATTTTACAATTTTTTTTTGTAAATTAAACCTTTTTTCAAAGCTTATTGTGCTAATTTTTGCATGCGCTGAAACGTCTGTACAGATACATTCATTTAGTTGCGATATATAATAATAAAACCAGGTAATTATTCAATTAAGTATTTAGGTACTTTCGAAATACGGACAAATGGACCGATAGACATCATAAGCACTACCATAAGGGTGCTTTTCTTTTTTACCGTTTGTTTACGGTATCTTAAAAAATAGACCAACGATAGCAGTCAGGTATATACAGGTGTTATAGGTGTATTCTTATTTCGAGCTATTAGCATGTCATTTTTGGTATACCTAGAAAAGCGTGTAACATTTTTATCATTTCTTTTCTGGCAACAATGTGTTCAGTGTCAAAGACGCTTTCATAATCCAAATTGTGACCGTACATTTTTATTACAGCCTATATAATACAGAACTATGTACCTACTGAACTGAAGTTCTGATAAATATAGAATTCTTTTATTATCTTAAATACCTATTAATTTTTATCACTTGTTAGTTCGTACCAATAAATCATAAAAAATACGGTGTGACTTTATACTGCTCTATTTCCTAGAATCCAATTTTTGGTGCTAGAGTGCTATTCGAGAGTTACAGAAATTGACGATTGCATTATTAATTTATTTCATTTTAATATATTATTGAACGTTACATTTCTCATTCAACAGTTCGCTATTGAAAAGTATACATTAACATCTTAGATCAATTATCCGGTTATGGTCACGCAGTGACATACTAGTTATATTTGAATTAACTAATGTTTTTCTTGAAATCATGTACGATAAGCTTATTTGTCAATTAAAAGTTTACTTTAATGTTACGTTATAAGATAATATTTCAAGTGACGTTTTACTGGATTAAAATGTATCTTAATAATGATTGATACATCTGTCTCCGTAAAACTCCGAATAATTATTCGAAAAAATAGTGCTGTACTCGTACCTATGTTATTATAAGAACTAAAATTTGCTTTACAATTGTAGAATATTGTTATCTTACAAATAACGGACTTGTTAATGACTAACGTGACTGTTGGGTCCAATGATATTAAACAACTTTTCTATCGACATTGTGGTGAATGTATTAAAAAAAAATTATTTGATAATCGTAACTGGAATTGTCTTACGATGGTCGTCATATCCTAGTTTTATCTCATAAGATCTGCAGCTACATTTTTATGTATTATTTTTTAAAGTATTCATGAAAAGCATTTCCCTGTGTCAAATGCGTTACCTGAACTTTTAACGACCTTATCTAAAAAAAAGATTAATTTTCAATTCGCTCTTTCACGTATAATCAATGATATCTGCAACGTAAAATCGTTTGGTACGATTATTCTTTGTTTTAAACAAAATATTCACAGTTATTTATATTTATTTGAAGTTTGTCACTGGCGTTGCCAATCACATAGATTTTTGTTCAGTCAAAGGGTAAATATCCGTTTGTACTGAGTATTTATCCTAAAACATGGATAATTATTTTTTTGTGCTTTTTATAATAAAATTCATTAAAATTAATTTTTTATTAAATAATTACGTTTTTGCCATTCTTTTATCTAACATTACTGTTCTGCCTACGTTTTGCGAGTCGAGTGGTATAAACAATTCGATTGACAGAAAGTTATCAAATTAACTGTAACCCTTGAGCTGACCTATCCTGCGTTGATAAAGTGCGACCCAACTTTATGGTCTTGAAGTGTACTGCGTACTGAATAAAGTCATGTTTGGACTTGAAATAGCCTCAGGATTCTCTTTCACATTTCACACACAAAATCTAGTAATTAAAACACATGATACAAAAAATAAATGTTTATATTGGTGTAGCTACACAAAGTGTTTTAAAAATATACTTTGTTTTACTAACTACAAATAATAAACCACGATTAAAAATATTTATCCACGTTTTTGGATAAATATCGAGTAAAAATGGATATTTATCCTGCGTATTTATCCCAAAGATATTTATCCATGACCCATCTCTATTTGCGATATATTCGAAATGTAGGTCGCACGACTATATCCTTAGATAGACAAAATTTTATTAGATTTTTTGTTAATGTGGCGTTTAAAATTTTCCAGTCACCTTTACTATCATTCCGCATATTTCTATGAAAATTTAAATCTATTTTTATTCTTCCTATGTGCACGGGCTGTGTAAATTCATAAAAAAAAGTTGTTTCTGTAATAGCTGCGTAGGCCATAAAAGATAGAAAAAAAATAAAGGGTAGGCTCTCTGTCGTAGATTTGTAGATTCTCCAGTCAGTGAATTCTGTCGAAATTTATCGGTTAATTTTTAAATAAAAACGCGTGCGTTCCTCAACTTGACATTGGCGAAATCATTGATTACTTTGATGGGACCGTAACATTTAAAAGAAAAGAAGAAAAATCACAAAATGTCATTAGTGTATTTATAAAATTTGTTAATTGAAATTATTCGGTACCTCGTTAATGTCATATTAGCTTAAAAGGGAGCACGCCAAAAAAGTTTTGACGTTGGCTCCGGCCAAATTTGTGAAACAAATATTATATATCTGAAGTTCGCGTGACATGCGACAGGAGATGTTGAATTTTGCGCATTAAAAGTACCAAAATAACTCTAAAACTAAGGGGATTAAAAAAAATCCGTAGTGACAGTTGTCGATCATGCATAAATATAATTAATTATCTAATTTTTGTCCTAATAACCTGTAGGATAAAACGAAAAAAACACATCGAACATTACGAGGATAAAACGAAAAAATGTGTGATTTTTATCTATCGAGGAAACTTTATTGTTTTATGTTTCTGATTAATGTCTATGCTTGAATATATCGTGTAGTTACGCATACAATATTTTATTTTTAACTTTAAAGTGGATATACCCCTATAAAATCAAATCGAAGATTAGGAATTTTTCCTCTGCTCCCTCTTAATAAGTAAAGCATGTAAAAAAACTGTATATCACATTGGTATAAATACCTCAGTGTAATGAGAATCTTTTCTAATGTAAAGATTTATGCTAGGTACTTATAACTTGAAAAGCGACTCTTGTTATTTTATTTGTAATGGAATTTGCTTGATTGGGCTTTTAGTTTTAACTTGCTTATACATGTAATAATATAAATAGGTATGTGTAGTGTCGGTCTATAATAGATTGTGCGCTTACTTTTAAGACTTTGCATGTATATTTCTGATTTTGTATTGGTGTAGGTAACAATTGTTCACTGACCAAATAAACAAATATAAGTTAAAAAAGAATTAGGTTAAGTTTGCAATTTTTGAGGTGAGCATGCATTTGTCAGCTCTGACTATGTCTAATCTGCTAGAGTCGCGCCTTTAAGTAATATAATGCCGCATTCGAACTTTCTACCAGTGTTGAGACCTCCTTATTTACTCGGAAAAGTGGTGATCGTGGCATAGAGCAACCCTAATTGGTGAAGCCAGATGTCTTAACGGTTGACTTCGTGCTCGCGCTTCATCTGCCGCTCGCAATAGTATACTTATATTAAGCATCAATCAATTTAGTAGCAGTAGAGCTGCTTACGAAAGACTCCGTCCAGGAAAATACTGCCACCAAAGTTATTTCTGTCGCCATGGACAATATCTCAAGAGACTTCGACTGCTAATCGCGTACAACACAGCTAAGTCGGGTATTTAGTACCAATTTGTACAACAGATGTCGCTACGAGTACTAAATAGCTATTTTTATACAAGCTGCAATTTCAGAGCTACTCTAATTTCTAGTGATAACAAACAAGTCAACTAGATGGCGCTTATTGCACAGATTTTTATGGATTGTGCCGGCTATTTTGTTTAGGATTAGTGCTATATACCCCCACACACGATGCCATGACACGTGTATTCGTCTAAGTTCAGAAAATAAGTTTAGCTCATGATAAATTTTTGAATAATATTATTACAAGAAAAAAACGTATTATTTCATATTAAAGAGGGATTAACTGATATCCTCGGCCATTTATACAAAATAAACTATTTTCATGCTATTGATCAGCGCCATCTAGATTGTAAGTCGGAATTTTTACTTTTTCAGAGTTACGATCTGTAGTCTGAAGAGTGGTGGTATTTCATATCATCGAAGTCTTATTTTAATATTTTCAATTTTCTGTTTATCGCATTTTTTTTTGTTACAAGACGCGAAAGTAAATCTTATACCCCTGCAATATGGTCCCTTCTCGTTTAGAGAACTAAATAAATAACGTAGTCGTCTATTAACAATGAATCGCTAGATGGCAGCATATTGATTGAAATGTCAATATAATATCAAAACGTCGTAACTTGTAATAATAGATATTGATGGTATTGAACTTTATGAACGATATGTCTATAGGGTAAACTTTAAATTATATTAACAATCATAGACTTACAATTATATGGACGTCGGGTCCGCGCTAAAAAGTGTCCGAACTTATAGGGCGTTAAAATCGTATACAGAGCGTCATTCACGCTTTAGTCTTCGTTTGTTCGACTGACAGCGAAGCAAGCAAAATTAGACAGTACTGCGATGACATTACAATTTAAATTCAACGTTTTAGCTTTTTCATATTCCTTTACATGTCACTATGTTTAAATAGGTTGACTTGGGACATTGTTTTCGTGGTTTTTTTATTAGACCCGTCGTCCATTTATTTGTAAGTCAATGTTAACAATCGAGAATTTGTTATTTCTTTTTAAGTTTGAAACTACGACCAATCACTGTCAAGTTTTTGTAGTGTTTCAAATAAAAAATGTGTGAGTTTTGGCGACATCGGTCGGTTCCGATAGTAATCGAGGCTTAAGGCGCTTCCATGGTTTTTTTCTTCCGTGGCAGCGCCCCACAGAAGGTTGCGATGTTAAGCTTTGAGTGGCACTGCAACTGTTATAGATAGGCGTGTCGCTTACCACAAAAAAATTTCAAAAATCTTTCGGTACACCAGCAGCTCGTTGTCAAAGTTATTTCATATTCAACCTAGTAGAAGCGTTGCACTGTCGCGCGGTACAAGGTCAACCTAAACAGAACTCTGATGAATTCTCCGACACCACTTGGTCGGTCCTTTGATGTCCTGTTCCTGTATCTATCGTCCACACACGCAACCAATATACCAGTTATACCGATTTCCAGGGACCTAGGCGCCGATCATCACGAATCAAACCACCACGCGTTATCCTCTATGGTAGATCATGGCACAGACGAGCCCGCACATCGCAGCGAAAACCGCTCGGTCGCGGACGACTTGGCCAAACGCGTCAGAGTTTTGTGCTGGGTCATGACGCAACCTGAAAACCATGAGAAAAAAGCTAAACATGTTAAGGCTACCTGGGGGAAGAGGTGCAATAAGCTGATTTTTATGAGCACTGAAGCAGGTATGTTATCTGTGTGAGCTTCGTCTGCCTTTATCTGGCACACGCTACCGAAAAGTTTTTCCAGGCGCGGAAATTTTTGATGATGTATAAGGGACTAATTTCATTTATCAGTCTGAGAGGAGGTATGCGGTTACTTAATATTTGTATTTAATGTTATTCAACTGATACAGCGACGCCAATACCTAATGCAAAAGAGCATTTAATTTTATACTATTATTATAGTTCAAAATTGCCAGTAACGTTTCTGTGTGTTTAAAACGTTATCTTTCCATTTTTGTTTTAGAATTTTTTAAAGAAATCCAAATTTTTAACATCCTGCTAATTTTTATGTGTTTCAGATAGCGAGCTACCAGCAATAAAACTTCCCATTAACGAAGGCAGAGACCATCTCTGGGCGAAAACAAAAGCAGCATTCAGATATGTGTACGAACATCACAAGAGGGATGCTGATTGGTTCATGAAAGCTGATGATGATACGTAAGTAATAACTCCACACATCTATCACAGTTTTAACCATAGATATAGGATAAAAGGGGAGATTGGGTATGGGGGCGTGGTTCGTGTCGCCTCGATGCGATCAAAATGATTATATCGAGTTGACACGCCTACAAACTTCGCCACAGTGACATGGCGATCGTTGTACATACCAAGATCTCTCGTAAAACGTGAAAATGTCAAGTTGTAGCGATACACCTTGTAAAAATTTGAGTGAAAACAAAAATTTTAAAACCAAAATTTTTACAAGGTGTATCGCTACAACTTCGCTATCTAACTATATCTAACTATCGCGCGCGGGTGAAAACCGCTCTGTGAGTTCTTAGTGTAACGAAAAATGAGTTTCAGCGCCATCTAACGTGTAATAGTTAGCTTATTATACATATACTAGTAGCATAGTTACTAAAACGTTACCTAATGGTGACTGGCTGAACCAGGATGAAAAAATACTGAAATATTGTAATATAACTCTTACTCAAGTGACTGTAAGTTTAATTTTGTTAAATTTTAAAGTTGTGTTACGTCGTTTTCACGTTTTAAGCCCTACCCAATCAAAATCTTTAAGTTATGGTAGTAGATGATAGAGTGTAAAGGTTGAATTACACACAAGCTAAAAAGTGGTGACATCGGTACCCGGTCGTACATAGCGTCATTACATATCTCCCCTTTTTTTCTATGTCTATGGTTTTAACCACAGACATGTCTAGATAGACGCCGCAAGTGTATGTACTTCGCGTGCCCAAAGTAAGTGAAACTCACTTAGTTGCCGCTGCTACACTTCAGAATGCGCTCGAAAAAAAGGAATTTCGAGAAAACAAATAAGCAACCGGGTGTATGCCTCATGATTTGTAATACATTGCGGCTTTTACTTGGTGCGATATATTTCTGATCCTTTGTTAATAATACGCCATGAATATCGAACGAACGCACTTTTGTATAATGCAGTTTCGTGATACGGCCGCTTGTACATTTCTTTGGCCAAATTTAATATTTAGTGATGTATACGTTAGGCAACACTGTTCTTGATTCTGATCGATTTTGAAAACAAAGGGACGAAAGTTATAATGACCTTAGCAATACTATAAAAATATTCTAAAACTCTTTTGTATAACGTATCGTTTTTTAGTTTTGTAGTATCTGTAATTTCGACATTTTTTGCAGCACTTTGCCTCGAGTGTCCGAATATATTGAGCAAATAATTACATACATCGCCGGATATGTAGTACGAGTATTACTAAAAAAATATATAATGCAAAGAATTAACAGTGCCCTGTCTTTATAAAAACCTGGAGTTGGTCATACGCATGAGTTCGTTGCTTTCGAGGACGAAGGTGGTAGTTTATCCCACCTAAGATGCTATTCAAATGTGCAGAGTAGCAAAGTTAGAAATCCAAGATATATAATAATAAACAAATCACAAAAATTTCACACGAGGCCGTCATTAAGTAAACCTCTTCTGATCAATAAGATTTTACCATATTTTGTCAGCAGTAACATTTCCATTTGTCTTGCCATTTATTCAGAAAAATTTTACTAGATAAATTAATTAAGGCAGTCACAAGTTCAAAATAAAATATATTGACGTGCGTTTTCATTATTTAAGTTAATCGATAAGATCTTCTATTACAAAAAGATGTTATAGTATAATAAGCTCATTTTATTGGAAGGACAATAATTTTTTGAAGTCGATTAAAAATTAAAGTCTTAATTTTTTTAAGTAATCAACGTTTTTTTTAAACAATTAAAATACTGGACTTAACTATCTTATTCTAATATTTTTCTACTATATTAATATTACGACTACTTATCAAAAAATACTTGATCAAACATTATTGTATTTAGAATCGATTAATTGAATGGAGTACGCGTATTTACGCGTATTCCGTTCAATCAATCGATTTAGAGTGGATGGAGGTTTCCCATCACTAAATAGTTCTTGTGACGTCATAGTAGGTAAAAATGTGGCACGCTTGGTTTTCATACACATTGCTATACTTGCGGCGTCTATCTAGGTGTATGTCTGTGGTCTTAACGTACGTATGTTGGATCTACATATTAGCAGCAGTAGAGCGCCTTGTGAAAAAGTTCGTCCAGGGAAGTACCTTACTATTTCTATACCGCCAAGCAGTAATGTGAGTCCAGTTCTGAAGGTTCGGGTTTTGAAGGGTAACGGTGCTGGTGAAATTACAGGCACATGAGACTTATCGCCCCTATTTCTGTTTATATACTCGATGGCTGCAACATTTTTGGGCGATGACCCTTTTTTAGATGATCCATTGTTTAAAATTAGTTAAAAGGGAGCTGGTTTAACATCTACTGCCCATGTAATAAACAAAACACAAAACTTAAATACATCCAAACACAAAACCTAAATATATATCTTACTCAAGATTTCAAAAACTTAAAAGCATCTTCCTAACAATAGTGTTGCGCGCCGCAGGTTGAATATTCGATCTTCGAGATCTTCTTTTTGTCGTACGGATGGCATACATTCTATTGTTGCCCAGGGTGCATCAGATGTACAGGAATAGTGGGTCGTGCGGGCAGGCTTCTTTCGTGCAAGGGGGGTGATGAAGTCCCGCAGTGGCGGACAAGTGCAGATGGGGTCATGGATCATAAATCACGTGGCCATAGCCCCGTCCCATGCAGAGTGTATGAATTTTTAGTGAGTACTACCGCGCCTCTCCAGGACACGATAATATCCATATCGAGTTCTTAGGTTTTCGCGATTGTTACACATAGGAAATGAAACTATTTTTCCGGATTGAAATCGTAATCGTAGATTTTTAACTATTGTAACTATAGTGAAAGAAAATAGGGTGGTTTGCATCAATATTAGACATAACTGGTTGAAGACTGTACCACCTTAGTCAACCGTGACTATGGAACCTGGAAAGGGCCCGAAACGTCGGTTTGTTTGAAAAAACAAATATACGCGATTTAAATCTGGAAAAATAGTTTCATTTCCTACGATAATATCCATTTCCCCCGAAAAAAATGCCTTGGTCCACCGCAGTCGCTCAAAGCGAGTTGTTGACCTTGTTGTTTATTTTATGCAACGACCTTGAAAAAGTCCGGACTATTTCAAATTGCACATGGTTAACTTAGAATTGCAATTGTTAGTTACGTTTCCGTTATCGCTAACTAATTTCCAATTCTAAAGCACTTTAAAAACCAGTCATTTGCCATGGGCCATTAAGTTTGTTTACACCTTGTGGCTTTAAGCGAAATTTATATGCAATAACGTGCTAAAAATATGGCATGGAATGAGTTTTAAAAAATTGGTCCTAAATCTTGCAACGTAGAATGCAAAATACTATTGTTTATACAGGGTACAGTCATGGAACAAAAGATGTTTATGATGTTAGTAATATAGTCATGTGAGGAAGAGGGTGATGACCACCATATTTGTGTTTGTACTAATAATGTAATACTGAATATTATACGAACACCCCCAAATTAGACAATAAAATATCAGAGATTGCGCAAACTGGTATACATCGAGTATATATAACCAAACATAGAGACGAAATGTCATTTAATTTGTATGAAAACTATTCTGCCAAATCATTACGGTGACAACTGCGCTCCGATTGGCCAGCCTGAATTCGCAACAATTGACGGTCGTGTTGTTGTGTTGTAGTGACGGTTGATATTTAAAGTGATATAAGGCCATTTGTCTGATGAGTTGCCAGGGATGGGAGGCCCTTATCTTGTCTCTATTTCTGGTTATATACTCGATGTTGGTATATGTGGTATACTGGTTATAGTTTGATTTTTCTTGAACGCATTACTTTTTTATTTTTAGGATATAGGCGTATATACAGGGTTATTTTTAAAATACTAACAACCTATCAGGACTATATTACTACCATCATAAACAACAATTCAAATCAACAACAAATCATTCATTCATTCAACATTTGGAGATTGCCCATTACAGTATGGACATGGAAAAGTACTGACTCTAATATTTTTGTGTCCTGATGAAAATACCTTTTATTGATTATGTAGCCTTAGTGAATTACATGTACCAAGTTAGGTCAATATTCATTTCCGGAGTTAGAAAATGTGTTTGGTTTTTAGGTTATAGTAGAAGCCCAGAAATATGGACTTTATGTAGCTTACTTAAGGTTTGCATTAACTTTTGCTATGAAATTGGGAAGGCGCAGTGCTCCTTACTCATAATAATTGTTATTATTCGTCGTCACCCTTACAGCCAGATCAAGCCAACTGCAGCGCAGCGCAGCTTGAGACGTTGTTTATAGTGTATGAATAAAATGACAACAACAACAAACGCGCGGTACATCGCCGTCTATCTACGCGCAGTGTGTCATTTCCACACATTATTACAGCGTCTTTAGCTGCTCTGCGCTGTGCCTATAACCTTTCATTATTCACTTTACTATTTATGGAACAAATAAAACACTTTACCTGTATGTTACGTTTATTATTTTATTCAATAAATATGTTATCAAGGCCTGCAGCTGGTGCCTTTACATCATTATAACGTGCCCAGCTCAGTTTATTACGTGCACATTACGTGCGCACAACAACCGACTGTTCGTTTTCCAACAAGACACGAGCAATAATAACCTGATACAGCGTCTAATGTGTCTCTTACGTTTTTATCCTTATTTACCAACATGTGTGTATAATACACTTTACTGGATACATGTCTGGATTTTATTCTCCCACGAACTAAATAATTGTTGATTCCAAATATCAAAGGCAACTCTTCTTCAATTTCTTCAGATACTTCTATCTGATACGTGCCATTTTGCCTTATGTGTTCACCGTAAATTATTTGGCTTGTTTTGTTTAGTATGTCCCTAAAGCAAACCGCTTCAAACTAACCATGTCAAATTTTGGAGAGCTACTTAAATGCGGAATATCAGCACACACAGAAGTAATAATTACTCTCCTTCTATTCATATTTTCTCTTATAATATCATCGCCTAAATGGTTTGGTACATTAATTCTGTTTTTGGTTATGTTAACATTCTAGATCTTCAGGGCGATCTTCAATGAGTTTGTGAAACTTGTTTAATAAGGCACAAGCAATTTTAATATCATCCATCACATGTCCCATGACACAGTCGAAGAATTCTTGCCTTATGAGTTTAAAATCTCTTTTAATACGTTCGTTCACAATTTCCACCACCCAGCGACACATTGTAACACATCTTGTTTTATTGGTCTGTAAAGTTGTTTATTGGTTTTCTCCTTCTGTTAGAGATTCAGGCATATGTGCTTTGTACCCTAACGCCGCTAACGTTAGCAACGCATCTCTAAAACCTCTGTCGAGGTTGAAAACGTAATTATTCCTAAAGAAACGGGTTAATTCAGTTTCGTCGTGTAATAACACATCTGTTAATATGGATGAGTCATTCTTTGTTGCCTTAAAAGGCTCTAAGCATTCTAATATCACAGCAAACAATTAAAAAGGTTTTATAAGACCTACATGCTTGTGTAATTTATATGTATCTTTTTGGAATTTGTAGTTACTACTACTGTGTACATATAACAATCGCTGGTTTTTCGTGTGGTGGCGAATTCGAATTCCCAAAAAGCATCTCTGGTATTATTTTGTTTTTACCAGCCACTTCCTCTATCGTCCTACAGGAAACTCCTAAATATAATGGTACAAACTGTTCCATCAGACAATTACGTACTATATTCATATACCTTTCAAAAGTACTTCGAACCTGATAAAAAAACGGACAATCGTTGATTAATATCTCCAGTTCTGATTTTAGCTAAATATATACTAAGAGCCAAACATGTTGAAGGCACCCTTTCATGTAAGGATGGAATCAATGATGGTAATTCATGCAATTGTTCTACAGTGAATCCTAACCAATATGACTCATTTTTGGGTCTATACGATTGAAATCGGTGAATTCTAACTTTCGTTCTACAGCTCTTTCTAAAATTGCCATCATATCGTCCATTTGATGACCTGTGAAGTCACTGTACGGTGCTAGTAGCCCATCCCGTAAATGACTATTTGCGTGATAATGATAAATACGAGCACTTAAAGGCACATATATTTTGTAAAAGCGCAATAATCATTTCTTTAACACTGACGGTACTAATAACCTTTCTACACTTTCACAGTCATGAAATATGTATGGTTTGGGGTAGCAGCTACACGTTTCCACACATTAGACTGAACTTTAAGGATGGACCGCCTAATTGGCTGGGGGACGCACGGATTTTTGGTATTGGAGGCGGAGCAGGAATGTTGATTTCTGCCTCCATTTGCTCTTGAGGTAACACTACTGGAGCTGCTGAATCATCCGACCTCTGAGCATCTTCAAGATGCCTTTGAATGGTCCTAGTGGCAGCCATCCAACAAGCACGACAAACTCTGACCAATCTATTTACCTGAAACAGTAAAAGTATTAAATAAACACTCACTCAACCTTCATTTATGCCATCTAATATATTTTTTATAGTTAAAAGTAATAAATAAAATATATAGGTAATCATAAAAACAAAGAGTGCAATGTACACATTTTTAATTTTCTTTTTGAGTGTGTTGATTATCAAATAAAACTATGGGACTGTTAAAACTATAATACATATATAATGAAAATATGGGTTGCTCCATTTTCATAATCTAAAAGCTTACCTGATGTGGTGGTACTCATCCCAATATAATATTTCTTTGTGGACTATCAAGTGGTACAGTATGAGTTCTGGCTCTCAATATAGAAAATCCACAGCCGTAATAGACACTTATATGACCAACAGCAGGTATTACGGGTTCTTGGCTCTCATTTGCACTTTGCAATAGAGTGTAACCATTATCACACACTATGTCTTCATTTGAAAACTGAAAAGGATAAAAGAGGTAAATATTTTTTTTAATTTAATATATCTGAGACATGTATCAATAGGTACTTTACTACCTTGTTTCTTTATGATTAGATGATTATTTTCTGTAGTGGGTATTTTAAATCATTATTTACTTACTTATATGTACTTACAGGTGTACGTACTTATAGGTATGGTGTATAGTCCGTTCCAATCCATTTTGAACAAATAGTAAACAAACTTGTTTGGTTAAAATTCCAAAGCAATCACTCAATAAATCGAATAAATAACACTCACGTATTTTTCGAAGATTTTGACTTGATATATCATCACTTTTTCCAAGAATATTCGCTTGAATAGCGTCGTAAAATCGTATTTGAAAAATGGTAGTCCAGAAGTGACGTTATTATTCATCTATACTTCTATGACTTGCCTATGGTTGCATAGTGCTGTTCGAAAAAAACATTCGGTTCAATCAATTAAAGTTTAGTAATCGATTAACGAGTATCTAAGTGTAAGGATTTGAAGGTGGATTTAAATTGAAATTTTAAATATGCTTATATAGGTTATGTAAGGAAAACCGCTAAACTCAATTGAACAAATCGATTAATTCAATTAATTAATCGATTTGTAGTTGGCGTTACAATTGGCCATCACTAAACCGTCTATGGTCGGGCCAGTGTTTTGTTTGTTTACTTTTTGTTCAAAATGGATTGAAATGAAGTATATGTGCTAACTTGGTACCATTAACTTATAATGACTAGCACAGTTTATCACAATTACTTCTACACACATATAATTATTGTGATTACAAGTAGATGTATTAAACAGAACTGTGTGCATACCTACATAGAAGACATTAATTTATTATGAAACGATTTAGAAGACCTACAAACACTTGTTCGATTAGATACTAATAAGATTGCTTACCGGTGTAGGTGTAATCCAAGCCCGTAATATGGCTAAGATATCATCGGGAATGTCCTACAGAATGTGTTTGCGCATAAATGGCGCTAACATCTAGGAACAATTGATACACTGTTTTCTAGCAGTAGCCATGTCGAAAATCACAAATATTAAGTCCTGTCTTATTAAACACTAGTTTCACACAAACGGGAGAGTTCTATTGATAAGATTAGTAGGTTAGTTAGAAACAGAGGAACGAATGCTCAACTCGATGCAACAAAACATACACACCAAACCAACAGTCTAAAAATTCTTCCATCCTCTAACTTCAACTTCAACTTTTGTATCTATGGCTCCGTCGTTTTCCAGCCTCTAAGAAAAATTCGAATGAAATAATGAATGTCAGATGACTGACAACTATAGCGATGTACCTAATCAGCATGTAATCGATTTCTACCAACATGATTTAAAGTTGCCTACTTTGCCCCAACACTAACGTAAATGGCGGAATATGATTGAGTTGCAAAACGGAAGTTAAATTGTTTATTAATTTAAAATATAATAATCCGGAAAGGTATTTCTTAGCAAAAAAGCTCAAATACTTGAAATATTTTTGTTTGATTTTTTGTTTACAAATGATTGAGATACGTCTGTTTTAAAAGTACTGTCCGTAGGCATTCTCCTTTACCAAAAATAAACTTTTATGTTTTTGTTGTACTATGTGACACTTTTTATATCTGTATTTGGTAGAATAAGTTCAAACGTGTAAGCGTCCTCCGCGACGACTACCACCCCCGTGCTACACTGTTATTACCGTTTAGAGCTATCTATTTAAATCTATTGTCGAATGCAAGTAAAACCTAAAGAATTATTAAAATCTTGGAACAAAAGTTGTTGTTTATGATGTTAGTAACATAGTCCTGAGAGGCTATTAAAATTCAATGCAGTGTCACATTTATATGCAGAAATATTTTGAAGAAACCCTATCCTGTAAAATTTGTTTTTTGTCGCTTACACAAAATCGGCGGTAATGGCTCGATATCCTTGTCGCGACAAGGTCAAAAGTTACGAAAAATGCAAGAAATGTAAACTGCTCGTATTTATATATCAATTCTGTGGTTTAGGCCATAGTTCACCACGTTAGCTCGATGATGCGGCTTGGGGGTATCATATTTTTTTCATCAACTGCTCTTCAAAACCAGAACGCAGGAATATTCACACCATATTTTACTGCTTAGCGGCAGAAATAAGTACGGTAGCTGTACTTCTCTGGACGAACACTTTCACAAGGAGCTCTACTTGTCGGTGGAATAATCACCAATCATATCTTTGAGTTCCTGACACAACATTACTTTATCTTATAACACTTAGCTGACCTCGGATTAACTCCTCTAGATTCGCTCTGGGCCTTTTGGAGGGAAAAGTGTCGTTTTTATTTTGACTTTCAATTATTTTGTGAAATCTAGTTTAAAGTGGAATAGGATAGTGCTATTGTGCCTTAATCGAAGATTAAAACGCGAAATTATACGAATCTCGAACTAAAATACCCGTATCGGCCCGTTCTAAGGAATCCCGAGTCAATCCAAGCACGCCGCCTCAAATTGCCTATCCTCTTTGTGGCGGCCATATTTACAGAAACATAATTAAACGAAGACATGGCTCAAAGGACTTGTATCCAAACCAAAATTATTAATTAAAAAAAACATTTGACCTCATTGACCTTATTAGTGTAGTGACCAATGTCGAATCTAAATAACTTCGTCTTAGTCTTCCTTTGCCTCAGCTTTCTTTTCATTTCCCTTATGATTCCACATGACAGCAAAAAGACAATGCAATATTTTTGTTACAGATACGTCATTGTCGAGAATCTACGTTACATGTTGTCGGAGCACAATCCGAAGGATGCCATTTATTTCGGATGTCGGTTCAAGATGTTCACTAAACAGGTTTGTGAGGGCGCCTTTATTTGACACGAATTTCATCGCGCTCACTCCGACCGCGCGACCGCGTGAATCTAAGGGTCGTATTCTAGAACTACTCAATACTCAAGTCAGGACTTGAGTATTGCAGTGAGCACTGAAAATCATACTCAAGTCCTTACCGTTAGGGTCGTATTTCTAGTGCTTGAAATCATACTCAAGTCTGCTCAAATCCTGACTTGAGCATTGAGTAGAGTTTTGGAATACGACCCTAAGTGTCATGGCGAAATACGCTCTATTTATTTGGATTTTTGACTTAAATGGGGATCCCGGGCGCGCGGAAGTGACAGGCTTGAATTTAGTCTACGCGGCGGCGGCGGCCCGGCGACCGGTTATATTATTCAGAGGAATTCAAATATTGTTGTCTAGTAAATATAATTCCGATTCGCCATTAATACACATGAAGGCGTGGTAAATGGGCGGTCGCAGCGCGGCGGCCGAGCGAAAACTTTCGCGTCGTGTAATTGGGCGTTTACTGTCTTTCACAATGACGTCCTTTGTGGTGCAGCTGATAACACCGTGGGGCATTAGATAAGGAAGTCTGATCGATTCCCGGTCCTTGAACCAATTTAGGAGACGAACTTTTCGAAATCTGTTCTAGATAGAGGTCTCAGAGGCAATTTCGAACCTCCTCATCCACAGTCCTAAGAGTCCTAACACTGGGCGAGCTCATCAAACAACAAAAGAGAGTAGACATATATCTGTCTGTCTTATCTCCCAGTCAACTTGTCATTATAGATCGAGCAGGGTTCGAAATTATCAAAGTATTTAATTTCTTTTATAATTAGCATGATAATTATCTGATAATTATCCGATCCGATGAATCAGAATATATATTTACATTCGATAATTAGCCTTGCTGATTCATAGAGAGAAAACAAAATAACCACGAAGAAAAGTCTGTGAAACGAAACTATTTATTTGTAACTTTTTTTGAGATTGGTAGCATTTTATTGTTCCAACCTATTTGTAATTATCGTTATCAATATTTTGATACTTTCAACCCTAGGGACGAGTAATAATAGCTCGATATAATTGGAGGCGTTTAGAAAGTCATATTCATGTTTGTTGTTCTAAATATTGTTATGTACTTAAAATTGACAGGGCTACATGAGCGGAGGGGCGGGGTACGTCCTGAGCAAGGCGGCGTTAGAAAAGTTTGTGAACAAAGGACTGCCGTCTCCGCATCTCTGCAAACCTGATGATAGCGGCGCTGAAGATGCTGAAATGGGTATGTTGGTACTTTTTAATGATTTCACTTGTTTATACACACATCTCTAACTTATAGACGATATTGTCAAATTTTATTTATTTAATTATTTAATCTTTTTGCGCAATACATACATACAAATGGCTGACTTAATGCCATAAGGCATTCTGTACTAGTCAACCATTGGGCCAAACAGAAAAAAAAATATCATAAACCAAAATTTTATGGTTAATTTACATACGGTATAAAATAAACATAATACAGCATAAACATACTTAATGTACTTATATAATAAAAACATGGATAATAAGTATACCTAATATATTATATTGTATATAGTAAACATAATATTACTTAATAATATGTAAGCACTTTGATTTAAACTTTCACGATTTTTACACATTATTTGATTTTTAATTCGGGACTTAATCGAAGATTACCTAAGAATGTAATACCCCTTTCAATCTCTGGGCGTTTACAAGATTGATTGCAGTTGTGGGAGTTCCTATATTGGGCAGACAAAACGCACCATAGCGGAAAGAGTTAAAAAACACATCGCGGCTGTTAAGAACCGTCAGCTCAATAAGACTGCAATAGCCGAGCATTTGCTGGAATCAGGACCAAACCACTGGATTGAGCTTCATAATCCAAAGATGCTTTCTACAGAACGTCATCACTATAGTAGAATCGTACGTGAAGCTATTGAAATTAAAAAACACCGTAATTTCAACCGAGAAGATGGTTTCAAGCTTTCATCGTCATGGGATCCAGTTATCGGCAAATGTAAACGACATCAAGTATAGCCCGACAAGTCGCCGGATGTCGTGAGTGTTGTGTGTCGGTCTAGTGAGAACCCTAGTGCACAAATAAATAATGAAGATCAAAATAGTTAGAAAAAAAAATTAAAATCAAATAATATATAAGTACCCTCAGCAACATTCTGCAGAGTCTTGATCTAGAAGATTGTCAAATAGATAATTGCGCAACATGCGCTTGAAAGATAACTTAGTCTGAATTTGTCTTATATTTAGCGGGAGCGTGTTCTAAAGACGGATTGCATGAAGGGCGAAAGAATTAGATACAAAACCAGTACGGTGAGAAAGAATAGAGAACTCGAGGCTACGGGAAGTTAGAATTTCGCAACCCGGCCGAGCGGTTTTAAATTGAAATGAGCATCTAAGGTAATCAGACGCAGCCGGGTCGAACAAAAGTATTTTGAAGTTATAAAAAAAATAGTAGTGGTAGAGCTCCTTGTGAAAGAGTTCGTCCAGGAAAGTACTACCACCTTATCTGTTTCTGCCGCCAAGCAGTAATGTGAGCATTACTGCGTTCCGGTTTTCAAGGGTAAGGGTGCTGATGAAATTACAGGCACATTGGGTCTTGTCAAATTATGTCTTTAGGTGAGTGGCGCAGGGGCAATGCCCCGATCTTTGCGTTTTAAAGCTCTGAGTGGACCTGCAACTGTTATGGACAGGCGTGTCGCTTACCACCAGGCTTACCATCACGACTTAATCGTCCAGTCACTTGGTGTTATATAAAAAAAATATATTTTTAAATTATTTGATAACTATGTATTCAAGTTCTTCAGCCGAAATATTAGAGATAATAAATATAGAAAGTACAATAAAATAGTAATGGTAACAGCATTGTAGTGAAGTTGTAAAGTATTATAGTTACACATGATTTCTTTTTATAACATCTGAGATTAATTTAACACGGCATAATCAATTTCTACTATGTAATGGAAATATAAAATATTTGATATATTACAAATTTTATTACGACACGTTTGATTTAAAGTCGGCCGTCTCGACTTACTATTATAATAGTATATTTACATTTTATTAATATTTTTATGTTTATTAATAAAAAGAACGCAGAGAAACGTTTTCCACCCGATGGTACTTGAAACCACGACATTACTGCACCGTAGTATTGCTTTTACCAACTGAGTTACAGGTTAAGTTTTATCGAGTTGACGAAATTCTCCTGTGTTTTTGTTAAAGATCTTTGTACTGGATCTTTCGGCATTAGGAGCCGCTAGTGATATCTGGATTTTAGAACCTCCTTCACCGCAGCCTTGAATTAATTCTCACAGCTAATAAAAGCTATAAGCGAAAAAAAAGATATCAGATAATTTATAGATAGATAATTAGGCTTTACAAATTGGCTATGTTTACGTCGACATGTAGACTTAACAAGTTAAAATTAAGAAGTATAACCATATTGACGAGTTGTATTGTATAAAAAAAGAATCATCAAAATCATCAAAGATGATATATATATTGATATATATGTATATGATGATATATATATGATGATATATATATGATATATTATTTGATCCTCAAAGAAATAATTGATCTATTGTAAATGTGCACTTTTTTAAATAAACGATTTTTTTATGCTTGATAGAGCCCTCCTACGTAAAGTATCGTATGTCGAAATTGCTAAGTTTACAGGGGAGCGTAAATTATAAAATAATTTGTAGTTGTTCATCTAACCGATGTCTAGGATTTTATAATACTCTTTGTGAGTAACGAGCTTTGCCAAATAAAACTGAGAAATGCTAAAGTCACGTGGTATGCTCATTTCAGTGAATTCAAAACTTTAAAACGCTCCCCTGTAAACTTGGCAATTTCGACATACGATACTTTACGTAGGAAGGGTCGTATATTAATTGTTCCATCTATATTAGTTGATCTACGGATACATTGTAAATGAACTGCGTTGAAGTTAACACTATTATTAGATTTAAGCATACTAAATATAAATATTTGGTATTCAAAAATAATGTTTGATCCTCTTTTATCATTGGTCTTTTCTTTTAACGATTGATGACATTTTTAACCAGTATATCTTTTGATATTTATCTCCTAATAAATCTTGGTTGCTTGGTTGCGCCCTGCATTCAGTAGATTAGGTTAGGTTAGTGTATGAAAAAGCAGAAGCCAATTTGCTTGCGTTTCCGAACATGTTTTATGTCAAATCATATTATAATTGACATAATTTTAGTATATAAATATAATCAACATTTACTTAGTTTTAGAAATAAGTATCTAAATTTTATTTTTAATGCTCATTTGAGTTAGTTTTAAGGCCCAACATAAAACTATCAAAGTTATTTATAGAAATCAATCATTTTTTTTGCGTAGCTCAGAAAATATTAAAATATCAATAGATTTAATTTATTTTATGTCTCAGAGAAAAAGGATCAATCATTAAGAAATATGACTGTTTATATCATAGACCTACCAATAAATGGACGTCGAGTTCTCGCTAAAATGTGTCCGCACCTGTAGGGCGTTAAAATCGCATACAGAGCGTCAATCGCGCAACAGTCTTCGTTTGTTCGACTGACAGCGCGGTTGTTATTCATGCAGTCCCATATAGTAATAATAACTTGTAAAAATTACTGCATTAAAGTGTACAAACAGGATTTTGTATCATATTTTCACTAAACAAATATATTGTGTTATCATAGTTCTCATTTAAAAGTGTTATTTTGTATAGTTTTATGGTATTTAATTTATATATAAATGAATCGTGAATATAAATTACAAAAGCACACAAAATAATCGAATAGCTAACTGTCCTTTTTCTACACATTGCATGCGCAAAAGACGGAAAGAGACCCATTACGTCAATTTCAAGAAGCTTAGATAAACTTCTTGCTCATTTTCAATTGTTCGAACCACAAGCGTTTGAAATATTTAGAACAAAGAAATTTCTCAAAGAAATCTTATTTTTAAAATGATTTTTTTATTAAACGTTAGCAATAACTAACAGAATATTGGCTTGGGATAACCTATCAGAAGTCAGAAAGTACATTTGCCCGAAATAACGTTAGCTCGAATTTTCATAATGTCAAATGTATTTTTTTAGGAATATTAAACAAAAGCTAGTTTTGCCTTTGTAAAAGGCATCGAAATTACTCGAAAGCGTAACGGTTTTATTATAAATCGGTTTTTGGAATTACGGATATTTGAATTTACGTTTAGTTGGAATATTGGTACATTTCTTATTATTGCACACGCTTATTTTCACATTTGTAGTAATATTTGTATATATGTATCTACCCAACTCTTTATTATTTCTTTAAGTGAATTTGTACAAAATTCGACATATGTCATATCCTCCATGTCATAACCAACCATCGACTATATAGTTTCTGGTTATATACCCGATGTAACCAACGCATTTCCATTTTGGTAACTTTCGAGATGTTGGCACCTAAAGTTTCTTTTTCTTTGAAAAATGTCAATGACATTGATTTTGCTTAACAATTAAAGTGGAATTAAATAAGATATATTAATTGCGATTTTTTTGTCAAATGACTCCACTAGTTTTATTTATGATTGTTAATACCTCCCTACTTTCCATCATTGGGGAATTTGCTGACAGGCTTGGGTTCAACCCCTATGTTGTGGATATTCCAAAGATTCGAACGAAGCGTTACGCTTCCACATTCATATGACGAAATTCATATGGAGTGGAAGTTCCCTGCCTGCAGACTTGTTTCCCGAACGTTATAACTTGGACCTTTTCAAGGCTAGAGTGAATAGGTATTATTTAGGTGTGCCTGCTCCATCGTCGACCTCATCGTCACTTTCCACGAAGTGAGAAGGAGGTCAAATGCGCACTCACATTTGTATAAAAAAATGCAAAGATCGAATACATAGAAAAATTTTCTTCGACTCGATGGGCCTTGAACTCACAACCTGCAGAACGAAACAATAAACAGCAAGCAGTCAAATGGCACAAAGACGTGTGCTATTTGCTGTGGTAGCTACTAGTTAGCACCTAAAAGAAAGGCTCGTTACAGCGTGTCTTATTTTTTTTTTTTGTAGGTATTTGCCTAGACCGCATCGGCGTGAAAGCGATGGATTCCCGTGACTCCCTTCAGCGCGGCCGTTTCTTCCCTTTCATGCCGCGCAGTCATCTTTTCCCAACTAAAGACAAGAAGTTCTGGTACTGGAGCTACATATACTACCCCACTGATGAGGTGAGAACAAACAAATTAGAATTAAGTCTATTGAATGTCAGACACCACCATCATATTCAATAGATTTCTCACAGATGGCGCTACGGTAAAAAAGTCGTTAAAAACCAAAATAAAGATATGCAATAAGCACATAGAAAAATTCGTAAGGTCTGCTAGTTCGTTCCGTGGCTTAGTTGGCATAGAGTCTGCCACGGTTTGCTAGAAAACTTTGGTTCTTTGTATTGATAATTATTACAAACAAATTACAAGTTAACACAAAAACTTGTGTACAGGGTGTCCCAAAACTCAACGTCAAGCGGGCACTGGGTGAGAGGCCAGGTTATATCAGTTCTCGGAAAAATAAAAAAAAATCTTTGTCACTCGGGAAAGTAATAATAGCCAATTTTTGAAAATGTTAAAAATCGATACTCTAGACCACATTTAGAGGTACTGTCACCACAAATATTCATATTTTGCAGTGATTTTTTTTTAACATCATCCTTAATAACCAGGCTATGTATTGCATTCACAAATCAAACAGTAAACTACATGAATTCAGTAAAAAAAAAAAAGTTTCATTTAGTCTTAACTTTCATAAATTATGTCAGCTAACTTTGACACTTCATATTTTTTTAAAAATGTACTATACTACCCATGGCACGTTCTGTGAAAAGTTGGCGCATCTAATCAAGATTTCAGAATGGTACAATAATTGCCACTTTTCGCATCATAAATACTATTATTTTTTTTTTTGCAAAATGGACCTCGTTTCAAAAAACTCATACTTTGATAAATAATTCTTTTGTATGCTTAAAGATTGGCTTTAGCGTCGTGTAAGTGAGATGGCCGTATGTGATAGAGTGAGATAGTTTGTTGATGAAACTCAATGAAACTTTTTTTTTTTTACTGAATTCATGTAGTTTACTGTTTGATTTGTGAATGCAATAAATAGCCTGGTTATTAAGGATGATGTTAAAAAAAAATCACTGCAAAATATGAATATTTGTGGTGACAGTACCTCTAAATGTGGTCTAGAGTATCGATTTTTAACATTTTCAAAAATTCGCTATTATTACTTTCCCGAGTGACAAAGATTTTTTTTTTTTTTTCCGAGAACTGATATAACCTGGCCTCTCACCCAGTGCCCGCTTGACGTTGAGTTTTGGGACACCCTGTATAGTGTGAACAACAAAAGTTCGTATTTAAGCTAATTATAAAAACCAACAAATTTAATAAAAATAAACTGAGTTTTCTAGATTTAGTTGAGTTTAGAGTTTTTAAGTAAATGGACTTGTTCTTAATCATTACGTAGCCCTAGAACAAAGATAGGAATACGATGGAACGAATTCGCCCACAATATGCCTATTCAGTCGCACTTTATTATACTCGGGGTTGTGTGTGCTCGGAAACACAGTTGCAGGCATGGAATTCCATTCCTGGGCTGTGCGCTTAACAAAAGCTCACGAAAAGAGCTTAGTACGCCTGAAGGGAATATCGACCACGTAGAGATGATATCTCGCCCAACGTCTGGATATCCGATGCACAGTATTATTTATTGACATATAAATCTCATTCCTGATTTTCATACATTAAAATATATCGAATGTCATTAGTGATATTTCGCACCCTTCGTGGAAGAATAGCTTAAATGGAGTTACGTCAAAAACCTTTATTGTTCCATTAGATACAGAAAAATATAACACACATCCTCTCAAATTTTGTACCTCTATCGACTAATATTGTAGATTGAGTTACAAAAATTGGAGAGGATGTGGGTTGTATTTTTAACCGACTTCAAAAAAAGGAGGAGGTTCTCAATTCGACTGCATGTTTTTTTATGTATGTTACGCGAAAAGTCCGGCAAACTGTGAACCGATTTTGATGATTCTTTTTTTGTTGGAAAGAAGGTACATCAGAAGTGGTCCCATTTAAATTTGAAGAAAATATTCAACCGCTAAGGGTGGCAAACTAGGGGATGAATGACTTTTGAGGTCGGTTTTTTAGTACTTGTACTGTTTATCTGTATCTAACGGAGCATAAACATGTTTAACGTAACTCCACTTATCGTCGCTTTACTTTCATAAACTCGTATCTTTAAGCACAAAGGTACTGAAATGCAAAAAATGGATTGTATATGTAAATTTTGCAGGTTTACTTTAAGAGTAGATAAAAGCCAGTGTGTGAACATGAAGGAAATGTTATGTGAAATTAGCCTTTTTTTTTAAAAAAAAGAGGCTAATTTAAAAAAAAAAGACTAATTTCACATAACATTTCCTTCATATTCACACACTGGCTTTTATCTACTCTTAAAGTAATGCATCCAAATTAACACCCTTGATAAGAAATTTAAAATAAATAGAAAGTTTTGCCATCTCCTGAACAATCACTCTTATTATATTTATATTACATATATTTCTCAAAGTCGTATCTTATAGATACGACTTTAGAAAGTAAGGCATCGTTATAGCATTCTTCCACGAGGGTTGCGATTTTAAAATGGACGGTTAAGATTTTTTTACCCAATAAAGTTTAGTAATTGTACAATATATTAGTAAAGGTACTTTTAATTTTATTTAATGCAAAAATGGTGTTTATTTATGTGAAAATGTTCCTTATTTTAATTTAAAGATTTATTACGATCGTCAGCTGAAATATTGTGAAACTTTTTGTTACACCCTGTTTATCAGATAAAAAGATATGTGTGCAAATACTACACCACCGGTCTAACACCAAACATTTTTTTAAACGCAACAAATAAGCATTAGAGTCGAAATTTTACCTATTTTTGAAGCGCAAGTCGGTTACGTATGAAATAATGGCTTTCGCTCACATAAAGCTCGACTACGCCTCGGGTAAAACATATTAAAAAATTATCTTTAATCTTTCTTTCTACAGTATATTTTACAATACAGCAGTATTGCCTATGGACAGCGCCGCCATTATCAGATGTATTTTGTTTTCCCGTCCATAATTTGTCTAAAGAACACTTGCTTAAAGTCCAATTTTGAATGATTCGTTTAGAATCGAGAGTTACTCGTTAATCTATACCATAGTTTCCTAAAGAGATCCCTACCACTGGGCGCTGAAGAGTCTTAGGGGGGCAGGGGCGGTAGGGGCCTCGGAAGCAATTGGGGGATTTTAACGCTGTCCTGGAATGCAATCATTTGAAAAAAACCGAATTATCTATATAAACCACACTACAAATATATTTTTTCTTGAGATTTTTTGTGTTGAGTTAATATAAAAAATACGTATTTATACTGGGTGACGAAATACTTTAATAGATTTCTCATAGATGGCGCTACGGCTGAAAAGTCGCCGAAAACCAAATACAAAGATCTGAAAAACAAGCACATGAAAAACTTCGTGAAATCCGTTCCGTAGCTTAGTTGGTATGGCATCTGGCACGGTTTGCTAGAAGACGTGGGTTGGAATCTGGCAGAATCTATTATATATATTTGTATTAATAATTATAAAAAATAGGTGTTTTCAATTGTTTTTTGTGGTGATGGGCGTTGGAGCTTTTTTATCTTGCCTAAGTGGGCGGTGAGCGTAAAAGTTTGGGAATCTATGTCTACTCATCTACCAAACTGGATCGGAGAAAGCTGTGAAATACCACTGTTGTATACTCCGCTTTGGAAATTTATTTGGCTTATCGGCAAAGTGTAGTAGTAAAAAAACGACGACCTTACTTCAGCTAGAAACTCAAAAACTCTTGTTTTCAATTTCATTTGAATTTAAGTTTATATTACCTCTATTGCAGGGTCTTGACTGCTGTTCAGATCACGCTGTATCTTTCCATTACGTAGCGCCACAAGAAATGTATGTATTAGACTATTTGATATACCATCTGCGACCTTACGGCATCAGCTACGGCTCTATCGAAGATCACAAAGAAGTTAAAATAGGCAACAATGTTAGCACTATGGCTGTTACTGGTAGCCGATAAGTGGAAGTTGCAAGTCGGTTTTAATAGTTCAAAAATTTTGTACAAAGCAATTTTTTTAGAAATGACAAAAATAGTTTTTATATTATGAAACTGTTCGTGGTACAGCCATGTGTAAGAAATAAAACATATTTGGTCATAACTAACATGGTTTAGCGTTTGAACCAATATAGGAAAGGGATTTTTCAAATTTGAAAATACATTTCGTTTTCATTAATAGTAGTTTATGTGACTGCATCGAGTATATAATCAGAAATAGAGGCGAAATAAGGGCCATATTATATTCCTGGTAACACATTAGCGATACAGCTCTTATAAATATCGACTCTCGTTTGCACTGAAATATAGACAGGCCTGAATATATATATATGAATATACGAAGACGTACACACTGACCTGTGTGTACGTCTCCGTATATTCCAAAAAATATTCTATGTTTATTGTAATAAAGATAATATCTCTAACAATGCCGTGCTGTCTTTTCGGTGGTGTGGGAAAAACAGCAAAACCTCTAATTACAAAACAAGCGGAATCACATTTCATCGGTAATTAAATATTAAATATGTAATTTTGCAATTTTTTTTGCAAAGCTCAAGTTAACTGGTCGATCTGAAGTGAAACAGTTGACGACCCGTCAATTGTTTCGAAATCGGGCTAGCCAATCGGAGCGCAGTTGTCACGGTAATGATATGGCAGAATAATTTTCAAACAAATAATTTTACATTTCGTCTCTATTTCTGGTTATATACTCGATGTGTAACATAATGAAAGGAATTAAAATACGAGTGTGGGTTACTAATTATTTGACATAAAAGTATTTTTTATGTCAAATTATTAGTCCTACCTAACCTAAAACTACACCTACGTCATTGACGTGCCATCGAAGAGCAGAATATAAAAAAAATTGCAATGGCAGTTGCATAGTAACGTCATGGCTAGCCTGTGACAAGACACTGGCAGAATACGAACTTTTAGCGGAATACCAAACTTACAGATTCCTGCCATTGACACTATTGGCACACAACTGAGGTGATTTAAATGTAAGTGCTCAGGGTGTGCCACACGTACTAAGAACATGATAATACGCCATTCCGAAAGGAAGTGAAAACGAATATATATGTAGTATATTATTTATGAACTATTAAAATCATGCTCTCAAAGCTTAAGGACTGTTTTGCACGAACGCTTTTTACGTCACGTAAAAACGGTGTAGGTATATAAGGGTTACCTATCAGTAGTCCGAAATGACATTTTCCAGAAATAACGTTTGTTCGAATTTTCATAACCTCGAAAGTAATTTTGAGAGGAAAATGTTTTTTCTTTAAACCTAACTTAACTTAGCCTAACCTAACCGAACCTAATCGTGTCTGCGATAAACATCCAACATATCCTGAAAGAACAACGGTTTCGTTATAATTCGGTTTTCGGTGTAATGAAAATTCGAACAAACGTTATTTCGGAAAAATATTCGAGTTTGTGATAGGTTACCGTATGTGAAACATTAATTTTCAGTCAATTTTAATTATCATGTGTAAAAAGTTTTGTACGCCTTTACATTATTAGTATGGACAGCAATAAACGCCATGTTTTAACGTACGACGTAATAAGCCATCGCGTAAATTAGAGTTTTTTTTTAATAATTTTTTGTGCAATAGTTTAACACAGTAGCATAGTAAATCTTTGACAAAAATGTTTGTCTACATTTTGTATAAAAGGCATTTTGTCTATCGACATTTTGATTTCTATGGTTTTATACAGGGTGTCCCAAAACTCAACATCAAGTGGTCACTGGGCGAGAGGCCAGGTTATATCAGTTCTGGTAAAAATTAA